AAGTAGTCTTGCAAAGGAGGAGACCCAAACCCTCATTCTTCACATCAAATCCATTTCTATTATGCTTTGATGAGGGTTTTTGTTGTTTTACATGCAATGCTGAAAATGCAAGAAAATTTCCAGCTGTTTATTCCTTATTTCTTTAACATAATTTTTGTTTTCTAAAAGTGATTCCCATTTACCAGAATCTGAGCCCTTTTTTTTGTTTTTTTTGGTTGGAAATGAAAGATGGTTTAGGAAATGATAATTTGATTCAGTGTGAAGCTCAAGGTCATTCAGACAAATGGTTGGCTGGATCACATTTAATGGATCATACCAAATAGAATGCAAAAACCAAGAAATCTGTATAATAGGCTGTGGAATTAAGTAAGTATTGACCAGTGCAGAAGAATCAATGGCTGTTGAAAAAAGAGTGATTACAGTATATTGCATCCTCAGGGTATAAGCATATAAATACATGCAAGTGTTTCAATTTTCAAAGCTTTGTTCTGTTTAGGCAATGGAAAAAGCCCTTGGAACTATTATCTGATCTAATTGTTACTTTCACTGAGAGGTAGAAGCAGTACCGAGACAGTTATTCTTGTAAAAATATGATAATATCTTTGTGTCAGAAAATACGGGTGGAATAAATGCCTTCAGAATTATCTAAATGTTTAAAAGGGCCCAATCTACTCTGACAAGAGCGGCAATGTCTGTAATTGCATTAGGAGTAAACCATCAATTTATATTCACTTCACTCTGTAAAGCTATGTAGCAAAATAGCTGCAGGGGATTCCATGCTGATTACATGGGAAAAGCTTCCAGATTGTCATGGAAGAACACAAATATTTTGGGCCAGCATCTCACAGAAGTGTTACACTGAATCATGAACAGTATCAGTGTACATAGACAAAACACAGTTTTCTTGCCCCAAAAGGTGAAAACAGAACTATCAAACCCTGTCCAAAACTCTGGCACAGAAATGTCCTTGAATTTTTTTTATTGCTTTTTGGAGATATTTCCGTGTGTGAGGCTCATATTTATGTTTTCCCTACAGAAGTATATAGCCTGGTGCTTTCAAAATTGTATGCAGCTACAGTCAATTATTTTTCAATGTGAATCTCTTGTATGATGGATTGACTTCCTCTGTCAACAGAAATAGATGAATATTGATTTTCTTACCATTATTATAATACAGTTTAGCTACTTGTAACAATAACTACTTTTGAATTCAGTGACAATTTGATAGTTTGGCTTGAATAAGTTGTCCTGATATAAAAGTCAACAGCTTAAAAATGTATTGCCTGAAACTCAGCAAATGGATTCATATTTACATAAACATGGAATTGGTCCAGTATCCCACAGCCCCACAGAACTTCACATTTATGTTCATCACATTTATGCTTTCTACTTGGCAGTAGGTATTGACAACATCTTAGCAGAAAGGTATAAACATCTCAAATTCTGTGTTTGTGTCTTAAATTGTGTCTGGAAATGCGTGCACAAACAAGGTGCACATCACAAAGTCCTTTAATTCAAGAAAGCAGGCCAAAATTCTTTCTCTCTTCCATATGCTTGAACATTTTGGCTCAACTGTGTTTATTAGGTGTCCTACCAAGATGACTCTGGCTATTGATTTAATTTTGGCTTGTTGCTTGACTCGTACCCAGATCGAACATCTTTCCACTAAGACTAATTTTACCAGCTCTAAGTCCCCAGTAGTGAAGCTAAGTTCAGAATGCCCATTAACTTCATATTAATCAATTAAATGTGCACATGAGTGAACACTTACATTAATTATTTAACTCTATCAAATTCAAAATTGACTTGGACTTTATCAGCATCAGTTAAGCTGTAGATATCAGTTGAAAAAGCAGATCTGCACAGAAAGTATTTACAGCCTAATGAGTTCTAAGGTAAAGAACTATTTTTATTTCATATTTCTTTTAATAGCTGTCTTGGCTGAACATGCCAACTTTGCCAAATTTAAACCATAAATCCAGCCCTTATTCAGTTAGTGGTTTAGATTGAGCTGAATGAAAAACTAGTTTTGACACAGCAAGAAATTTAATTTTGACTTTTTGTGAACATACTATTTAAAGTTTCCTCTCCAGCCTCAGAAAGGGGACCAAACCCTGTCTTCCAAATAAATAAGATGGAAATTATTTTTTCTTCTTGAAACCTATTATGCAGCCTATCATTAAGATGTGAAAAATCCTGATTCAGATCCATTCTATCCCTAATTTCCATTTCTTTCCTTCTAGATATTTCCTCATTCAGTCATACAGTTTATAGTTTAAACCACTCCCCTAGGAACTGACACATCTGAGTTTCAGTCCTGCTGTCAATAAGGTTTTATGTTTTATTTGTACAAAATGGGACCATATCATCAGGAAAATTTGAAGGGCTCATCTTCTATGATACAGCTAACCTTTCCCCTAATGTATTCTATAAACCAAACTAAAAGGAATGTAAAATTTAAACAATATTTTAAGTTCAATATTTTTTTTTAGTTTTACATAAAACAACTTTTTTTTTTTCCAGTTTGACCTCTATACTGATACATCCATTTCTGAGAGATATTGATGCAAGAAGAAAGAGTTCACCTGGAAAACAATATAGACATTGTTTTCAAGCATATGAACATTTTGAAAGTAGATGTAGAGCCAGATCTTATATGCATCCTATTTACATTCTTCCTTGATGATAACAGTCTTGAAGTGTTTGAAGCATGTAATCATATTTCTTCCTAGTAACTCTTTAGTCAAATCAAAGTATTTATTTCATTTGAACTTTCCTCATAAAATAATCCCTACAACCACATGTTTACTTCTGTTGCTTTCTCTGAACTGCCTCCAGCGTGCTGAAAGTCCTTGGCACAGAGGTGCTTGTTCCCCTAAGCTGTCTGTATGGTGTGGTCTCTTTCATGCTACGCAGACCAGAGCGATCCTTTCCCTAGGCCACAGCATTGTGCTTCTACATGTACAGCCTAAATTTACACTGGCTTGTTGCTGTGTTCTTTTGCAAGATTCCTTATAATTTGCTATCTGGAGTCATCCCAAGGGATTTTGGCTGAATCCTTCTTCTGATATTTGTTTCAGTTTATTCTTCACCTAGAGTAGCCTGCATCTTTTCCAAATTGACATAATTTCATAATTTTATTTTTCTCTGACCAAATTTCCAACTTTTCTCATTTCTTGTCTTGTTTTGGTGTTCTTCTTTAACCAGAGTAAACCTTATAATATATAAATATCACTCACATTCCATTACTTATGCTTTAAGTTCAGTTAACAAAATAAATTAAACAAAAGTTAAGGTGGATCCCTTTGGCATCCACTGCTGTCTGTTACCAATTATTTTGCCATGTAAAGCATTATTTTTTATTAATATTTTTACTTTACTCCTAGTGTAATCTGTATATGTGCTGTTTGGTAACTTCTTTTTCCCCAATTTCCTTCCTGAGGTAGTTGGTAAAACAAGAGTTCAGATTAGTAAAATTGGTTTGGAACTTAGATGTATATTTCTCTCAATGCCTTTTTCTTTGGAACATATAGGTACTTATTATTTTTTGTATATGCAACCTTCAGAATTTCAAATGTAATTAACTTGCCATTATTACTGTTCTAATATAAATGCAGGACCAAAGTACAAAAGGCTGAAGTTACGACTAAGAGGAAATGTATGTTTGTAATGCCTGGACCCTAACCGCTACATCATATTAAGTCCTGGTCCTAAGTAAGTGTAGTGGCTTATATTCATCAATTTGAGTTTCCCAGCCAGTGCACCAAACAATGTGGTGGGTTTAGTGCTGGCTAAAATCACCAATGCACTTACTCATTTCTTGCTGTGAGATACGGATTAGGAGAAGGGCAAAACAAGCTTAAAACTTAAAAGGTATAAAGAAACTTTATTTACAGGACTAATAAGAAACATCAGAATAAAACCTTTCCTCCCCCTGCCCAAATTTTTCCTTTCCCAACTGACAACATAAAGACAAAACCTGGGATGTTAAAACAGTACCAACTATACAATAATCTTTTCATCAGTCCTTGTAGGGAGAGGAGTTTTCTCTTGTCATGCCATGGAGACTTCTCCACAAGAAACAGTTTTCTTGTGGCTTTTTAGTTCCACAAATAGCAGCCGCCCAGGCAAAAAAGTTCTGTATCATGAAATTCCTCTCATTTTCACAGCCCTCCTAGAGGTGTGTTCATGGACCATGAACTCATGGGGTATTATTTTAAGGATGAGTTATTTAAAAGCAAAGGTTCTCTTCATCTCTGATCATCTCTGGAAACAGAGGTTTTCTTCTTCTGTCCCTGGGGACAAAGGGTCTTCATCACTCTCATTTCTCTCCCTGTTCAAACTTCTCATGGGATCACAACTGCTCCATTTCTTATTTTCTCCTAGGGAGCCATTAGATCAGTGGGTGCCTCTGCTCAGATCTACAGCTTGAGTACTTCATCCCGCCACACTTTCTCATTAATTAAAGGAGATACTTCATTGTCCATCTCCATGGCCCTATCAAAAGAATATTTTAGCTGCATTTGGCATCTCCTCATTCTCCTTCCATCTGAAGCTTAACTCTTTCTTTACTGACCTTGATGTTTTCATGTTGTCTTTCTATGTGTCGTCGCTCTGTCCTTTCCTCTCCCTGGAGAGAGGATAGAGGTTTGCAGGTTTCATTTGTGAAATGAAAGGGTTAAGTGGCCATGGCAGTCCTGGTGTTGGATTTCAGGCGGCACTGGGTGCCTCTCTCAGCCCAGCCGCTGGATGCCGGAGCCATCAGTGCGGGCCGAGGGTGGGGTGGAAGTTTAGTGTTGGCAAGATGTCAGCAGCTGCGGCCTGGCCCAGGAGCCTGGCCCCAGGCTCCCCACAGCCTCCATCCCCTGCCCGGGAGCCGCTGGGGCCCGGCCCGGCCTCCTCCAGGCCGCACAGGCTGCGGGGGAGCGGGGCCGGCCTCACCTGAGCTCTGATACCTTCTGAGGCTGGAAACAAAGAGAAAAGAGATTTCTGGGCTTGGTGTTTTTAAAATGTGGATCTCACAGAGGCAGATCTGATTTCTAAATGGTGTAAAGTGTTGTCAGTTCTCAGAATTGGCCATCTATTGGCCTTTCCCATGCACAGAGGTAGTTCCCAGCAGCTTCTCTTGAACAAATCACTTCGGTGTTTTTTTATTTTTTTGATGTTAATCAAATGAAACCAACGTCAAATCAATGTGAAACCTCCACAGTAATAATTTCAGCCTTGCAGAAATTGAAGGCATTGGAAATAAAGGAAAATATTATTTCATAAAAACTACATAATGAAATAATTTAGATAGTTGAGAAAGATGTCCTTTAAAATGCAAGAATGAAGATTCAACCTGATTATAGAGAATTGTTCCAATGATGTAAAATCTGTGTTCAATTGCATAAAGAAAAGTATTGTTAGATTTAATTTGCCCATAGGAAGACTAATTCCAAGGCTGCTTCAAAATATTTGCTCTTTAATCACAATGCTGTTGACAAATAAGGCTGTGACAAAACAAAATCATCGCTCTGAATTGTTCTGAGTAAGTATCAAAAGGAGTTTAATAACAGTTCTTGGAAAGAATTAATACATGAATAGTAACTGAAAAGACTTGTTTCTTAAGGAATGAGAAAATGTTTAAGACAGCTTTGTGTGGAAAGAACGAAGGCGTAAGTTTTATGAAGCATAGGTCTGGATTTCACTTTCTTGTTATGAAGGACCACTGATGACATGGCCTTTATGAGCTGAAAAGGAAATAATATTGTACTTGACACTGTAATACAAATAGGACAGAAATATACTCGCTAAGGTTTTCAATGCTTAGAACATACCAAATGGTTTCTATAACAAAAGAAAAATGGGATGATGCTTTTAAGTTTCGAAGTTTAGATTTATTGGATGAGGGGGTTTAGTTTGGGATTTTTTTCCTCCTTCTAAGAAAAACGAAACAAAAAAAACCAAAAACCCACAGCTAAAAAAAGTCACAAAAAACCCAAAACAGAAAACCTTGGAAGGTTAAAATGATATATCTGAAAATAGTTACTCTGCAACCTTTCATAGCCTCCTATCATAGAGTTTGATCCAAGGTGTCATGGATATTGACAAAGACCTATCGTTCATCGAAAAGGACTTCAGGAAAGTGGAGACTTCTTTTCTCTAAAGACATTATTCCTAGGCAGTTAGATGTCAATATATGTTTGGTACATACACAGTACCTACAGGTACTGAAGGCATTCCACACCTTCATGTTTAGTGGAAAAGGCTGGGTTCTTCCTTGTGCAGCAGCAAATTGCTGTATACTTATTATCCAATCATTACATGTCCTCTTTTTTTGAGAGCTATATGGAAATTTCCATTCCTAAGATAGTCTGGAAGCAGAGTGTTGCAAAATTCACCAGTCCTGCAAAACCTTGTATAGAAGAAGCAACATCATGACAGGTGCCTGGAGTCTTTTCTGGCTCATTTGCCAGGCCCTGCTGCTTTGGGCTGCAATCTAGATCATAGCTGGGAACAAGGTGACTTTGAACCCTACTTTAGAAAACAGGTAAATGAAGCCCTGCTGTTTTTGCAGCAAGAATTCACAGAACAAAACCATTATATTATGTATACCAAAAAGTATACATCATAGTTTGGTGGGTTTGATTCTGTAATGAGACAGAGTAGGGGAAATCAAATCACCATACATAAAATCTCAAGGGATGTAGAGACTGGTTCAGGAATTCTGCAGGGAAAGATTCAGACCTATTTTTCTGTGATTTTGTTGAATTATTCACTGTTCTTGAGAAAAGGTATGCATGCTGTACTGTCATAGATTTTTAGGTGTTCACCAGAAAACCCAAATATAATGATTGTTTGCCAAAATGTGTTAGGTGCTTTTTCAAATATGCCAGAGCAATGGTCTTATCCCAAGGGTTTTAATCTGGGTAATTTACAGTCTCACAGCTCTCAAAGGACGGTACAGAAGCTTGAATGCTTGTGAAACCAGATCTGTCTTAAAATTTTTTTCAGACTTTGGACAAGTGGTTCCATCTCCAGAGCTTCAATTTGGTGATAGAGGAGTCCACAGCTGTGAACCACTATAAGGTAAAATTCACCTCACTTTTTTTTTTTTTTTTCCTCATGGCCTCAAAAAACCACCTGTGTTTGGTTCAGTATAGTTATGGGTGTACAGTGGGGCGCTACCTCTTGCACTATGTAATATATACAGCAAGAAGCTTCTCTCCAGCAGGCAGACACAACCACTGTCACATTCTTTTACCTCTACCCTTCCTACCCATGTGGCAAAATGCAATCAGTTTTCTTCTTTCATTTTCAACAGAGAGGGAAGCGCAATCTGTTTTCCACACTGTTTCAACTAAGTGCAGTGTGTAAAGTTTCAGAGTTTTGTTCTCTAAAGCCCTGTGTTTCTCTTGGCCTTCAGAGAACAGAGATGTTTAAGGGAAAGATTGCGCCAGGTATGCTTACTGACATGCAGCATTTTGTTTTCCACATTTGTTTGAACAGCAATGTTTGAAAAAATATTTATATCCTGTTTCAAAGTGCTGCAGAGTAAAACTCTGGTTCTCCATCGACTGAGGGACCATATTTTTTAATACTTTAAACAGTGCTGCAGAGTAGGATGATATCTTCACTGTTCAGAGAATCAGGCCAAGAACATTTTTGGCTCAGGTCCCATATTCTGATTTTAAAAACATTCCATACAATTAGTGTAGCCTCTATTGAATGGACAAATGCTGTTGAAAAGATACATGGAAAAATTTAATCCAAGCATGGCATGCTTTCCTAAAATTTTAACCTTTATTTAAAAAGGTGACCTTTGATTTAAGAAGAAGCTAGAGAAAAATCTCCCAAATACAGCCTGAGAACAGGGCACATGAAGAATATTAGGAGAAGGAGGAAAATCTTACACTTTATAACATCATGAGGCTATTACTATGTCTGAAATACATATTTAAAAGCAATATATAAAATTGGAAAAGGTCTAGTGAAATGGTCTGAAATCTGAATAATAGACTATGAAGGGTAAGATTTAAGTTCCTTCTCATATGGAAGATTTAAGGTATCAATCCATCAAATAACCTAACAGGCAGTTAGCCTGTGACTTGATCTCATTTTTGAAGTATCTACATAGGAAAGATTTATGGATTTTAGTAGAAAAGAAAGCGTAAAAAGATCAAGAGAAGGAAGGTGATGGAGGTGAATGCCAACTAAAAACAAAGCACTGTATTAACAGTGGAATGATTTCTGTGCCACCTGTAACTCCTAAATCCATACAACGTGTCTTTTCAGAAGATACACTGTAATTCGGACAGAAATGATGAGTGTAGTGCAAAAATGCCAGTGTCGCACTGTTGCTCAGAACTTAATTTCTCCTTTGTGGACTGGGAAAGTTTCAGGTCATGCTTCAGAGCTCAGCCTATTGTAGTGCTTGTGGCTGAGATTTCTTTATTTTTGGTGTGGGCTAATTCAGGAGGCAAAAAAACTGCAGGCCAAGAGTCCTGCACATTTTTGGCACACACAACACAGTTTCTGAGGTCTACAAGCTAAGACTGAGAGTGCAACACAGACACTGGGTGCTTCACTTTTTGGCCTATTTTCATTCCAGAAGAAGAGATTGTACAAACTGTATGAAATTCCTATAGGTTCTAAGATTTTTACTTAACCTTTACTCTCCTGACCTCAAGAGAATTTAAGAATTAGCTCTCCAGTCGTTCAAGCTTTTATTCCTCTGTTCCACAAAGCTGAGATAGTGTAGGTGAAGTATGGAAAAGCTGTTCTAAACTTTGGAAAACGTTATTTCTGTAGGAGCAGCAGCATTGTATCCCAGGGTTTTTCCCATTCCCAAACTGTTATTCATTTCCTCAGCAATGGGTATTTTATTATTATGCTTTAACCTTTTAAACAGCTTGAGGCTCCCGAGTGGCTTCCTCTGGGCTTCCTGGAGGCTTCCAGGCTTCCAGGATCAGTCTTTGCTTCACAATTAAAACATTTCTGATGTTAAACAACCCTTCATTGTTGTTTCAAGAATAGCTGCTGCTAACATTACCTGTTAGAAGTTTCCTGTTTATCAGTAGAGAGCCTAGAGATCACAAAGTATTTCCCTTGAGTATCAGGAAGACAAAAATGCTACTTTCTAATAGCTTTCTTTAACTACTGCTGCCATGGAGATTTTGCATAAGTGCAAAACTTTTGCACAACTAATCTCAATAAACCAGTTTTACATAGAACTTTTTTTTTAAAAAAAAAATCTTTTCAAGTCTTTCTAAATTACACAATTAAAAGAGATAAAAATGTTCTAAAAGACAATATTCCATAGTCAAAGCATATATTAAAAAAATAATTTTCTCTTTTCCTTTATAAAGAGTTTACTAAGTTTGTGTTCCTAAATCCTTCCTTTTATTTTTGTATTATAAGACTTTTCTTTTTTAGCAGTTTGGATTTGAAGACAGTAAAATTTTCAAAACATGTAAGAATTATTGAATGCCTGGTAAAATGTGTTGGTCATAAGTCCAGGGATAATTTTTATTATATGGTGGGAAGTGAAGGAATAAATAATGTATAAGGAATTCATACTGTATTTCTGTTTGTCAGTGACTTGGTGTTGGCTTAGTATTCCAAATCAGTAATAAAGATGTTAAAAAAAATAAACTAAAATAGTCTATCCCCTACTCATTTGTTCTTATTAATGAATGTTTGTTTGTAAATTGCTCTGATACATGCAATTGAAGGCACAATTATTCAAGTCAGTAGACCAAATCTTTATGTACAAACAAGAATATAGCAGAAAGGAAGGACTGACAGGTAACTGGTCTCTTGAGGCTGCTATCACAGCTGTTTATCAGGGAGCATTAGAGAGGCCTTTCCTCCACTTAACAAAGTATAATTATCAAAACTTGGCATCCTCATGTCTGGTAAAGGAGCTAAACAAACCAGATGCATTGCATTCCTTGATTCCAGCCAGGGGATTCCAATCTTATGAAAGTCATGATTTTAAGCAGGTTTAGTTTAGATCGGAGTGTACACATGAAGGTACTTAATGCAGTTCTGTCTCCCATTTCAAAATTTATTTTTTTCTCTGTGTCTTTCAATTGGTTTTGTGTAATTATAATTTTGTCTTTCTGTCCATTAAAAGAAAAATCTTGTGCAAGGCAAGATGATAAACAATATATAAATAATTACTCATTTTATCATTTCCTTTGGCTTTCATAGAGACAACTGTTTTTGTTTCCTGACAATGCATTGGCAAGGGACAATAAAAATTTTGTTGCCAATTTGTTCCAAGCTTATTCCATGTAGTTAGGATTAGATAAAGAAATTTTTAGAGGACATCTTATAGACGATGTTCATCTTAACTCAGTGGAGAATCAAAAGTTGTTTACTGCTTTGAATGCTTTCCCTTGATAGCCATTTAATAAATGAGCAAATGCAACTCCATCTCTTGTACCATTTATCAGTTATCTGTGTACAATACTCTTTCAAACAATAGATTTTAGAAGAGAAGAGAAGAATGAAAGCAGCCACACTGTCATAAACGGTTTTTTCCTCCATCTACATTCTGCTGGCAACAGCAGGAGTAGTTTGTAGATGATCTTTACAAATATGCATGATGGTTTCACTTTATGGTAGTTCAAAACTAAGAGCAAAATCTTATCCTAAGTAGTGATCTTGTTATCATTAAATAGTATGAGTTAAGTCCTCCTCCCTTCATTTCTGGGTTGAAATGATTTGTGCAGATTAACCCCTCTCTGTAACCATGAGAATCCCTGATGAAGTCAAAATTACAGTCTTTTCTGTGGTTCAATTTCCTTTATGTTCCCCACAGTACACACCTAGGAAGCATGAGGATTTTTTAAGTCCAGTGGTAACTGAGCACATTTCACTTTGCATCTCTCTAGTAAATAAAGATGTTTTATTTGCTGAATCTGCAAGAAGCAGAGCAAATCTGAAATCATTGTCATTCAAAAATTCATTGAATGTACCATGGGAGTGGTCCTTGTTTGTGACCTGCCTTAATGCAGAACACAGCAGCCCTGAACAGAAACAGAATGATTTATACTCTGAGGAAGAATGCTAGGGAATATTTAATGGGAAGAATACAGCAGTCAGAACATGACTGTGCTGCTCTTCTTTACGCTTTCTTCCTTTCCTCCCTTCATTCTCCTACGGCCTCTCACACACCCTCACTCCCTTGCATTGGTTCACTGTAGCTATTAGATCCGTAACAGAGAGAAACTGTGGACATGCATGCTTTGGGATTACTTTGAAACAAAATCTTGAGTACCCACCTGTGTGTTAATCCTCACTTTTGAAACATGTGTGATAACCTGAAAGAGCCCAGATCTGTTCTCCATGGGTAGCTATGAGTAACTACTTTCTCTCTCCTTGTTTATATATCTGTTTGTGTCTGTAATTCTCAGGGATTAGCCTAAGCCTGGGGCAGCAAGTATTTAATTAAAATAAGATTGACTAGACCAATAAACTGTAACAGAAAATTTGTGTGAACTAAGAGCAATAGTAAACCTGAGTAAGTTTTTTCCTGTTTCAAACAGGAATGCATTTGCTCTTATCAATGATCTTTACTTTAAGAGCACATGGAATGCTTCTTTTTTATGGTTTATTTTTTATAATTCATTCCAAAACTCAAAATGTTTTGATCATCCTCTGGAAGGCTGAATATTCAAAGCCCCATATGTCACCTCTGTCATCTGTAAAATCATGTTTCTTTGTTCAGCCCTGTGAAAAGAGAAATAAAATATGGGTTTCTAAGGCTACGCAAGGCTAAGTCTATTGTACAAGCATAACAACTAAGGCATAGTATATTGCTACTTATTCAAAGAATTTTACAAGGCTAGAAATTCTAGTCACAGTATATCCTTGAGTCAAAATCTAGAAACACACAAAAAATGCAAGATTAACAAGATTCCCTAGATGGTGACAACAGCCACAGGTCTCTTCTCCCTATGTGTATCTCTACCACTGTACATGAAGCAATTATGTAATAACATGATGAAAGACTTTCAAAGTAAGAGTTATTCAGCCATCTCAAGGCAAGCCAGGGTTGGTTTTCTATTCACCAAGCTTTT